AGCTTTGATTGAATGTTGGGGTGATTACAAATGAGGAGAGGGGCTCTATTTTTAGCCCCTTCCAAGCCCAAGGGAATATTCTAGAATACAATAGATTATTCTTATTTCTAGATTATCCTATTCAATTCTTATATGTATACATGGCCCCAGAACTTTGTAGATTACTCGAGTTTTCCTTTGGAGCTTTCCCTTCTAGCATTCTCCAGAATATGGTGGAATCTTCTAGAGTCCCTTGGATGTCTCTCTATTTTCTGGCATTCTCTAGAACCTTCCATCCCATGAGGGTCTTGCCACTTTCTAGAAAATGGCGGAGCGTTTCTTAGCACTCGTACCCGCTTTCTTTGTTTGCCCTTAGCAAACTTGGGTTCTTCCTTCCTGGTTGGCAACTTTGTCCTTGGCTTCAACCTAATCCGATGAGCTCTCTCCATTCTTGGTGGTAGTTCTTTAAGAACCTCCACCACTTCCCTTGGCAAGTCTTTTTGGGCCTTCACCGCTTCCTTCGCCAATTGGCTACCCTTGTCTTGTGGAACCTCCTTAAACTAGATGGTCGATAACATGTTGCCTTCCCGCTTGTTAGCCCTTATGGTTGCTACTAAGCAAGCTTGGTTACCTTCCATGATGCACATCTTATTGACAAACGACATTTTGAATGCTTTTGTCTGATCCAAAAAGCTCATTCACAGGACAACTTTAAACTCATCCATTGGAATAACAGAGAATTCTAAGATACCTGACCACATTCCAATGTTTGTCTTTACTTCTCTGACTAATCCATGGATTGGCCTTGTTTCTGAATTTACGACCTTGATGGAGCCTCTTCCTTTAGTTATCGCAAACCCAACTTATTTGTTTCTTCCACAGAGATGAAGTTGTGAGAAGCATCTGTGTCCACCATTGCTCTAGTGGTCTTCCCACCGATTATTACTCCACAAAGAGTAACCCATTTCCTTGAGGGTATTCGGAGCCTGCATCCCATTCAGCATTTGTATAGCCCCCCACTTGTGCAACCATATCATTTAGCTTTTCCTCTTGATGACTTATAAGAAGAGAGTTTAAAGCCTTCTTTTGAGGACAATCCCTTGCCCGATATGATCCATCGCAAAGGAAGCACTTGTTTTGTGGTTTGGCTTGGTATTTTTCTAGGCTTTCATTTGTCCTTCGCCTTGGATTTACTCGATTCGTGGCCGGTCTCCTCATGTTGATTCTTGTCTTCCCCCTTTTTAACATGGATACCCTTCTTGTCTTTTGTCTTTAGGGACGCCATTGTGTAGTCTACCAAGCTTTCTGCAACTGTGATGGTAATAGTGAGATCTTATGCTCCATGCCTCCTAAGCTCGGTCTTCGCCCATGGTTGGAGTCCATCATGAAGTTGAGTAAATCATCCTTGTCTTTTATGTCATGAATTTTAAGAATCAAGCTAGTGAACTCCTTAATGTACTCTCGAATCGACCCTTGTTGTTTGAACCTTCACAATCGGACTCTAACCTCATCCTCTGCATTCTTAGGGTCGAATTGCCTCTTTAGCTCCCTCTTAAAGTCATTAAAAGTGGTTATGAAGCACAAACCTTTCTCTACATCTCATTTTCTTCTTCTCCACCAAAGCATAGCGATGTCCGAGAGAAAAAGAGAGGAAAATTATATTTTTGCATTTTCATCGGTAATACTCATCACTCCAAAGTATTGCTCTAGTCGCGATATGAAGTTGTCTGCTTCCTTCAAGTTGCGAACCCCTCCAAAACTCATAGGTTTTGGAACTTCAATCCTCTTGGCTTCGAAAGTGGGATGACTTGTGGAAGCCGCTAGTGTCCTCTTATACATCAAAATATCTCCATGCATCTCCTCCAAGCTAGCACACATCGCTCATCTCCTTCTCATTGGCTCTTCGCACCTCTTGGAGCTTCCCCAATAATATTCTCCAACTTAGCCATATGATCCATTAAGGTTTCCTCAAGTTGGAGCATCATACCTCTGATTGTTGAATAGATGGTGACATCCTCCCCCTCGAGCCCATCAACCCTTTGGCCAAGATCCTCTACCTAGCCCTCCATGTCATTCATTGCCTCCTCCATTCGAGCAAGGCGTGAATCAAAGTCATGCATGATCTCCTTGGACCTCCCATGTGGTTTAGATGCGACTAGGTCTCGTTGCTCCTAACGACCACGCCCTTGTTGGGATGATTCCACAATAGTGGCATCTGACTCCATCACGTATTTTTTTATGCTCTTTATCATTCCTTCGAATCGAGGCTCTGATACCAACTGTCACAGACTAACTTTCCTCGAGTCACCCGTGCGGCTTTAGCGCTCTCCTTTAGCAATAAATCAGTCTAATCCTCACAACACATGGACTTATGAGCACCAAGCACTCTTAAGAAGAATAATAGAGAGAAAGGAATACTTCATACTTGAATACTTTGAAGTTTTGATTGAATGCTTGGGTTATTAAAAATGAGGGTAGGGTCTCCTATTTATAGCCTCTTCCAAGCTCAAGGGAACATTCTAGAATACAATAGATTATTCTTATTTCTATATTATTTTATTCAATTCTTATATGCATACATGGCTCTAGAACTTTCTAGATTACTCGAGTTTTCCTTTGGAGCTTTCTCTTCTAACATTCTTCAAAATTTGGTGGAATCTTCTAGAGTTCCTTGGATGCCTCTTTGTTTTCTGTCATTTTCTAGAACCTTCCATCCCATGAGGGCCTTGCCACTTTCTAGAATATGGCGGAGTGCGACAAACTGCTAACTTAGGTCATCAGCTCATCAAGCCGACTGATTTATGTAAACTTCTTTATATAAAATTGTTTATATAAAATAACTTTACTAGTCATTATTATTATTATTATTATTATTCACTTGCTAGTGTTCTGGAGCTTAATAAAACAACTGAAAAGCACAATTTTATTTTATTTTGAAATATTGCATTTACAATGATCAAAAGAAATGTACAAAGGCAAAATAACAAAACTATGTCCCAAAGATGCTAAACAAGATAGCTCTTAACCGCTTGCAAAAATACAAAAACAGGATCATCAGCATTCACAACATACAAAATAAAATCCCATTGTAGCACAAGTATGAGCAATTTCTTTGTTACTCCGGAAGGTGTGTTGGAAAACAACTTGCTTGAATCTAGACAAAAAAATAAATAAAAAAATTGGATTGTTGGAAACCTTCAATTGCCAGCACCGCTTCTCCATACTCCTTCGAAGAAAGTCCAAAAACTGCCACCATTTCCACTTATGCTATTGTCCAAATGAAGAAAGCATTATTTCATTTAGGGAGATTTACTTTTTATCCAATTCTTATGTATTAACATATCAACCACCAAAACTTCAATCTACACCCAAACATATGCCGAAAATATAGGAATGGGGTGGTATGTACCTAAAAATTGAAGTTTGGGCAGTTGATATGTTATATACATAGGAATTAGGTGGTAGGTATATAACGGCCCCTAAAAACAATTCAGTCCAAAAAATATTTTTTCAAGGCAAAGAGCAGCCATCCCAGGTCCCCAAGTCGCTTCCAGCAAAAATGCTGGCACTTTACACACATTTCTAAGAAGGCGGTTATATTTGTGAACAAAAAAATTATTCTGTAATGGTTTAAACATGTATGATCACGTGATTGCATTAGGAATTGAAATACAGGATATTTGCAACCAATCTACATTTCACTAATAACAACCTACTTGGAGCACTGTACTGAATAAATCGACTACTCTTGGAGAGCACCAATTCCCGCAAATTGGAGCTGAGAAAAAATACCGTCGTGGAACTGGAATCCAACTTCGTATTCTTCAGCACTGCTTCAATAAAAAGAAACACACAAGGAAAAGAATGGCAGTGTGAACAATTGCACATCCCCCATGGCATGCTACCAACGAAGAGTGAAAAAAGGGATTGGACATATTTTATTTAGGTGCATCAATCCTCCAATTAAAAAGTGAATATAATTCTATTACCATTTTGATTGATCCACTCAAGTTAATAGAGTCAATCATCTTTTTTCTTTTTTTAAAGACTATATTTGAGGGTAGAAATACTATTATTTTATTCAATTCTTATATGCATACATGGCTCTAGAACTTTCTAGATTACTCGAGTTTTCCTTTGGAGCTTTCTCTTCTAACATTCTTCAAAATTTGGTGGAATCTTCTAGAGTTCCTTGGATGCCTCTTTGTTTTCTGTCATTTTCTAGAACCTTCCATCCCATGAGGGCCTTGCCACTTTCTAGAATATGGCGGAGTGCGACAAACTGCTAACTTAGGTCATCAGCTCATCAAGCCGACTGATTTATGTAAACTTCTTTATATAAAATTGTTTATATAAAATAACTTTACTAGTCATTATTATTATTATTATTATTATTCACTTGCTAGTGTTCTGGAGCTTAATAAAACAACTGAAAAGCACAATTTTATTTTATTTTGAAATATTGCATTTACAATGATCAAAAGAAATGTACAAAGGCAAAATAACAAAACTATGTCCCAAAGATGCTAAACAAGATAGCTCTTAACCGCTTGCAAAAATACAAAAACAGGATCATCAGCATTCACAACATACAAAATAAAATCCCATTGTAGCACAAGTATGAGCAATTTCTTTGTTACTCCGGAAGGTGTGTTGGAAAACAACTTGCTTGAATCTAGACAAAAAAATAAATAAAAAAATTGGATTGTTGGAAACCTTCAATTGCCAGCACCGCTTCTCCATACTCCTTCGAAGAAAGTCCAAAAACTGCCACCATTTCCACTTATGCTATTGTCCAAATGAAGAAAGCATTATTTCATTTAGGGAGATTTACTTTTTATCCAATTCTTATGTATTAACATATCAACCACCAAAACTTCAATCTACACCCAAACATATGCCGAAAATATAGGAATGGGGTGGTATGTACCTAAAAATTGAAGTTTGGGCAGTTGATATGTTATATACATAGGAATTAGGTGGGTGGGTATATAACAGCCCCTAAAAACAATTCAGTCCAAAAAATATTTTTTCAAGGCAAAGAGCAGCCATCCCAGGTCCCCAAGTCGCTTCCAGCAAAAATGCTGGCACTTTACACACATTTCTAAGAAGGCGGTTATATTTGTGAACAAAAAAATTATTCTGTAATGGTTTAAACATGTATGATCACGTGATTGCATTAGGAATTGAAATACAGGATATTTGCAACCAATCTACATTTCACTAATAACAACCTACTTGGAGCACTGTACTGAATAAATCGACTACTCTTGGAGAGCACCAATTCCCGCAAATTGGAGCTGAGAAAAAATACCGTCGTGGAACTGGAATCCAACTTCGTATTCTTCAGCACTGCTTCAATAAAAAGAAACACACAAGGAAAAGAATGGCAGTGTGAACAATTGCACATCCCCCATGGCATGCTACCAACGAAGAGTGAAAAAAGGGATTGGACATATTTTATTTAGGTGCATCAATCCTCCAATTAAAAAGTGAATATAATTCTATTACCATTTTGATTGATCCACTCAAGTTAATAGAGTCAATCATCTTTTTTCTTTTTTTAAAGACTATATTTGAGGGTAGAAATACCGAAGAAATTATTACTTTCCAGAAATGAGCCGATTGCAGCCAGTTGCCCATCCAATCCGTTGATTCTCATTATCGTAAACAATTATCATATCCTGCATCGATATGTCTGTAAAAAAGAGTAAAAGGCCGTATTATATGCCATCCCAAAACATAGCAAGTTCTAGCACTAAATTATGGTTGCCTTTGTTTTAGTTTCTATGTCCCGGAGTTTGGGGAAATTATGAGATCCACTGACCCGCAGCAGTTGAGAAAAATATACATATGTATCAGATCAGCTATTAGTGAATATAAAAAAGAAATAAAAATAATCAGTGAATATTAATGCCAAACACTTTCTATTCTATTTTGCCCTTTATTTTTCCAGTTACGCAAGGCCTATTCCAACACCATCCCCGCAAGACCGCTAAAGCATAATTAAGTATCATCATGACACACAGTCATGTAATCCGCAAGAAGTTGTCTGCGGCCCTTGTGCAAACAACCATCTAATTTCATTATTCAACAACAACAATAAGCCTTTACCCGACTAAGTGCGGTCAAGTACATGAATTGTTTTTCTCTGTTATGTCCTATTGTCATATTTTCACGGTACATGAATCTTTTTTCTCGGTCAGGTACATGAATCGTTTTTCTCTGTTATGTCCTATTGTCATATTTTCACTTAATTATAATAAATTAGGATCATTTTTTATACATGACCAGATTTTTTTAGGTCTACCTCTACCTTTCTTAATATAAGATAAATCATAAACACCTACTCTCCTAACTAAATCATCGGATGATCAACTTTAATTTCACCAAACCATCAAAGACAACTCCCCATAATCATTTCATGGATATATTCGTTTCGCATTATGTCTCCAAGTGTAAAGCCACTCATCCACCTAAACATTCTCATCTCAGCAACACTTAACTTAGTTCTATGCATCTCTTTTGTAGCCCAACATTATGCACCATAACACATTGTGAGTCTCACCACCATTTTATAAAATTTTCCTTAATGTCTAAGAGGTATTTTTCTATCAGACCATAGGGTCGATGCATCCCTCCACCTCAACCATCCAACTTGAATTCTACTAAAAAGAACCCCATCAATAGCACCATCACTTTGAACAATAGACCCAAGATATCTAAAATGTTCACTACTTTACAACCTCACCACTAGATCTCCTACTAAAATTATATTCCATGTGTTCAATTTTAGAGCTACTCAAATAAAAGAATTTCGATTCTAAAGTTAACCTCCATAATTCAATTTTTTTCTAAACACTCTGGTCTTATCTATAAGAAGGATGTCATCAACGAAAAACATACATCAAGGTACATCCTCTTGTAAGAGTTCAGTAAGATCATCCATAATCAAAACAAAAAGATATGGGCTTAAAGCTAAACCCTTATGCAATCCAACTGAAATAGGAAAATACTCACTATGATTAGAGATAGTATATTATATGAATTTTTTGCTCTGTTTTGCAAAAAACGCATATCAAATTATATACTATCCCAAATCTTAGCAAGTTGTAGCATTAAATTATTCATGCGTTTAAATTTCACTTTTGCAACGCTACCAAAGGCGCTCACCTTCCAATTAAAAGAAAGGACACCCAGCTACAGAAAGCCTCCCTAAGGATATGATGCATTATTGACATTGGATTTTTCATTTATCATGTCACAAGTTAATAACAGATATTCATGTCAGAAATTTCTGTGCTCTTGGATGCATGCAGATTGTGGTTTGAAAGGAATTAATTTGTTTTACCTCCGATAAGGATTAAGTCCTTGAGACCAACATCATTTCCATTGAGGATACCCAGGCAAGCGTTGCCTTTTTCCTGAAATGAACTGAAATTCGTGAATTAAAGGTTTCTTTGTTTATAAAAATCAGGAAGGCAAAAGATGTCATGTATACCGTGACGATGAAATAATTCTCCGGGGGAATCACCATTTGAGCTAGACTCTTGCCACTTACGAAGCCAAGGACTATAGGCTGGAAGTATTTATTGAGTTCAAGGACGGACTTAAAAGGCTTCACGGCCTTCCAGCACAGTGGAAGCGCCTTTTCTTCGGGTGCCTCTTTCAGGGACGTCGTGGAGATGTCCCTCCTGATCTAGTATTGAAAGATGGAATTCTCACGTCACTTTTTTTAAGAAAAAAAAACAAGATTATTAGAATTATAGCAAAAGAATGGGGAGATCTGCGTAAATAGCACTCAAAACTTCTAATATTATTTATCTCACACTCAAACTTCAATATTTACATCGACAAATAAGAATCCCAAAAATAGTATTTGGGTGTGTGTGTGTCTGTGTGTGTCCCTGTTATTTTTCATTATTTATTATCATAATTTTTATTTCATTACTTGAATATATTTCTCTTTAATTAAAGTCCTTTCCGATAAGAGATTTATAATGAATTCTGTGTTAGTTAAAAAATAATTGTAGCAGATGATTTGAATTGTATAAATAGTTAATAAATACTTAATTAATTATTAGGAATTCTCAAAATTCTATAAATACATTCCCACAAGAGTAATAGGAATTAATGAATAAAATAAAAGGGCATTTACATACCACAAAATTCTTATGCATTTACATATAATACCTAAAATTTGATTTTTATATTTATAACACTAATCTTTCGTGCAACACCAAAAATACCACCAAGCACTATAATTACCTTTTAAAAACTCTAAATAATTTTTAAAAAGTGAATTATTCCTTGGCAATATAGATAAAATGATATAAATATATTAAAAAAAAATTTAGGTGTTAGATATGTAAATAGATAAGCATTATGTGGCGTATGTAACTCATTCAAATAAAAAAATAATATTGCATTTTATTGATATTTTAGGATCCCTCTTGATTTCTTTACTCTATACTTCTAAAATTAACATTAATCCCCCTTGTTTTCTACATTTTGGCAAATCCCAGTAATAGGTTGGTATAAATTTCGAAAAAATAAAAGTATTTTTACAGAATGAACTTTATGTATACTGCCAAAAGAACGTCGAATTTAATATTGGAGTACTGAATATTTCGAAAAAATAAAAGTATTTTTACAGAATGAACTTTATGTATACTGCCAAAAGAACGTCGAATTTAATATTGGAGTACTGAATATTTCGAAAAAATAAAAGTATTTTTACAGAATGAACTTTATGTATACTGCCAAAAGAACGTCGAATTTAATATTGGAGTACTGAATATTTCGAAAAAATAAAAGTATTTTTACAGAATGAACTTTATGTATACTGCCAAAAGAACGTCGAATTTAATATTGGAGTACTGAATATTTCGAAAAAATAAAAGTATTTTTACAGAATGAACTTTATGTATACTGCCAAAAGAACGTCGAATTTAATATTGGAGTACTGAATATTTCGAAAAAATAAAAGTAATTTTACAAAATAGAACGTAGTCTCATGTGTTGTGCATTGTCACGGACAAGCTTATCTCAAGTCACCCATGCTGCTTTAGCACTTTTTTTTCGCACAAAATCAGCCTAATATCCCTCACAATACTTGGACTTGTAAGCACAAAACATTCTCAGAAGAGTAAGGAGAAGTATTGGAGAAAGGAACTCTTCACTAAGAGAGAAGAGTTATAAGACTTGAAAGCTTGTTAGCTTAGATGGTTTCTTTAAATCCTTTCTTGAAAGCTTACAAATGAGAGGAGAGACTCCTATTTATAATTCCCTCCAAATCAAAGGGAACATTCTAGATTATATTAAAACACACTACTTTCTAAATAGTTCTACATTATTCTTTACATATACATGATTATAGAACTTTCCAGAATATTCTAGAATTCTCTTGAAGCTTGTTTCTTTCCGCATATTTCTGGAATTATGTGGAACCTTCTAGAATTTCTTGGAATATTCTCCTTCTTTTTAGTTTTTTCTAAAATGTCGTAGAATCTTCTAGAGCCCCTTGGATTGTTCTTTACATTCTGGGCTTCTCAAGAATCTTCTTTTCCCATGTTTAGCTTGTCAATTTTTTTTGAAGATGGCAGAGCATCACACTCTCTTCCTCACTTAAGCTCACAATGCCCTCATTGCGGATTCCCCTTGGCACTCGAACCAACTTCCTTTGTTTGCCTTGGCAAACATAGGTTTTTCCTTGGTGGTATGGGAGAGGGGTATCGTGCACTGAGAATTCATGGTTGGTGATTTAGTCATTGGCTCCAACCTAATCGAATGATTTTTCTCCCTTCTTGGTGGTAGTTTTTAAAGAACCTCTACCACATCCCTTGGCATGCCTTCTTAGGGCTTCACTTCTTCATAGGAGTCGTGAAGTACAGTCAAGTAACTCCCCTTTTCTTTTAGAATGCCCTCTTTGAATTGGATGGATGATAACACTCTGACTTCCTACTTATTAGCTCTTGTTATCGGTACTAAGCAAGCTTGATTTCCTTCCATGATGCACATGCCATTGGCGAAGGGCATTGGGAATGATCTTGCTTGGTCCAAGAAATTTATTTATAGAACAACATTAAAATCATCCATCGGAATGTCACAGAAGTCTAAGGTACCTGATCATGCTCCAACACTGGTCTCTACTCCTGTGGCTCTTCCATGGATTGGACTTTCTGCTGAATTGACCACCTTGATGGAGCCTCCTCTTTTAGTCATCTGCAAACCCAATCTCTTTGCATCCTTGACGGAGATGAAGTTATGGGAAGCACTCGTGTCCACCATAGCTCTAGTGGTCTTCTCGCCTATTACCATCTCTACAAAGAGTAACCCTAACCACTTTCGCTTGGGGTTTTGTTGAAGCATGCCTCTCATTCAACAGTTGCATTGCCCCTACTTGTGTTGTCGTATCATCACCTTCTTCCTCCTGATGACTTACAAGGAGAGAGTTTAGGATTTTCTTCTGAAGGCAAACTCATGCCCAATGAGGTCCTCCATAAAGAAAGCAATTGTTGTGTTGTTTCGTTTTGTAATTAGACTCCCCCTTACCTTTTGCCTTGGATGGGGTCGATTCGCGACAACTCTCCTCCCTATGTTGATCCATTTCTTCCCCACCCTTGACACATGCACTCTTCACATCTTTAGATTTAGTGGACTCTTTTGAGTAATCAATTAGTCTTTCGTCGATTGCAATGGCAATATTTTCCATCTTTATATTATTTATTTCCAACAGATTGTGGTGAATCAAAGTGCTATAAAAGCCATTCAAGTTGAAGATTTAAGGAGTTCTGCCTGTCGTGGATGGCGATATGTGGTCACTAAGATCAAATCAGAGATGAAATTTGGCGTTATTACCAGATGGCAAAAGAACACTACTCAACAAGTGGATCTACAAGTTAGAAGAAGAATCAAATGATAGTATGCACTACAAGGCAAGACTTATTACAAGGGGATTTCAGCAGAAGAAATGAATGGACTACACTGATATCTTTTCTTCCGTAGTGAAAATGAGAATTGTCATAGTTGTGGTGAGTTTAAAGGTAGAAGAAGATCTACAATTAGAGCAGATTGATGTAAAAAAAGCCTTCTTACTTGGAGATTTGAAAGATGAACTATATATGGTGCAATCGTAGGGTTATGAGATTCCAGGAAAAGAAGATTTGGTCTGTAGGTTGAAGAAGAGCTATATGGTTTGAAGCAGACCCCAAGATAATAATATAGAAGATTTAAGAGATTCATGTCAGATAGTTTGTATATGAAGTGTGAGACAAACTATTGCTGCATCATCAAAAATTTTGATAATTGTTATATCTTGTTTCTCTTGTATGTAGATAATATGTTAATTGCAAGAGCAGATATAAAGAAAATCAGGAACTTGAAGAAGCAATTATCAAGAGATTTTGAGATGAAGAATTTAGGTCCAACTAAGAAAATCTTTGCGATGAGAATTAAGATAGACATAAGTGCAATTATAATGAATTTCTCTCAGACATTATGTTGAACAGATCCTATAGAGATTTAACATGAGTGAAACAAAACCAGTTTGCACCACTTTAGATGGTTACTTCAAGCTATCTAAAGATCTATCGCCTAAGTTCGAAACAGAGCAAGCGCAAATGAGTATGCTTCAACAATTTGAAGTTTAATGCATGTTATGATATGTACAAGATCAAATATTGT